AAGCAGCAACTTATAACAGTTGTTTATATAACAGTCTACTGAGATTATGGTCATTTTGATTCTATGTGTATAAAATTTCACAAACACATTTGGAGGAAATTTCACTGCAATTGGAAACAATTTAGAGTTTGATATGTAATAATGTCATATATAAATGTGATTGTTATATTTCTGCACTTCACTAGTCACATGTGGATCATTAAAGACCCTGATGGATTATTAAAGATCTGTTTGAACCTGATAAAATTTGTGACTCATACACTCACATATTTATGTGTAAAATGTGAGAGCTGTGATTACAAATTACACAGATAGGTGCTAAATTACTCACATTTTCTTAGATTTTGTTAAATAGACAATCAGGCCACAAATACCTGAAACTGCCACTAAAACCCCAATGACAATCCCAGCTATCGCCCCTGATGACAGCCCTCCTCCTCCTCCTACTATGACAAAGAATAAAAACAACAAATCAAGGTCATGTACGGCACACAATACTAATAGTAATGCACTTCAGCCTCAATTTTTATTAAAAAATAAATACATTTAAAACCACACGGTTTAAAAAGGTATATGAACGTATTGAGTTCCCATGGGAATGTATTTCATGTCTAATTATCTAAGCGTATTTGATTCAAAATGCTGCAAAAGGCAATAAATGTACTTTTATCCAGAGTGATTCAACATTTTATTGAAAGTAATACGACAAAACAAAACAGCAGAAAAACTTACAAAATAGTGTACTAAATATTTGTAAATGTAAAGTTCCTTTAAATAAATGGTCAATTAAGCTAATTTCAGATTAGTTTGAAATATTCTTACCTTTAACTAGTAAAGCATGTTGTTGTGTGGCGCTTCTCTTTGTGACATTATTCCAGGCTGTGCAGATGTAATCTCCACTGTGTGTGAAGTCAGTCTCATCTATGATGAATGTGTCTGTGGTCACATCAGTGTTTGTTTCATTAATCTTCCAGCTGAATGAGGCAGCAGGTTCAGAATTTGCAGAGCAAGAGAGCAACACATAAAACCCTAAATCCACCTCATTCTGACCTTGATCGAAACATCTTCTGGTCCATCTAGATTCTCTCACCCTTAATAGAAACATCTTCTGGTCCATCTAGGACACAAACAAAAGACTCACTGACAAACTGAGCACTGAAGAATGTCTGTATTTCATCAGGTTTGAGCTCAAATCATCTCGATGTTTGAATGTTTAACACTCACAGTTGATGATCAGGCTGAGTATTGCCGTCTCAGAGCTAATAGGGTTTCTATATGTACATTGATATTCTCCACTGTCTGATCTCTGCACTGGACTGATGGACACTGATCTGTTATCAGATGAGAAGATGATGCTGTTGCTAGGAGACAGAGGACTGTTATCTTTCATCCACTGCACAGAGGTGATGCTGCCAGTTCCCTCAGAGCTGATGTTAGCAGATGATTCTCCCTCTATTAATGATTCTTCTGGACCAATAAGCCTGTCATTAGTTATTCTTTCTGTGTAAGTGTGAGACAAAGAATAAACACACTAGATTTAAGATGAGTTTTTCACATTTGGTGACCATTTCACATTTTCATGTTTAGTGTGGTCAAGGGTGGTACAGAAGGCCAATCAGCAATGAAAGGACTGTTTATAGGTTTGAATATGTGCGCCCTATAGACTGTTTATGTTTATTTCAGTGTCTATTTAGATCGTCATAGTTTGTAACATATAAGTTATATTTTTAATGGATTTTCATAGCTGATAGAAGACTGAAAATCTGGGTCTGAGACAAGAGTAAAACAACAAAAATCTATACTGTAGTCTAAAATTTTTTTCAAAATAAATTAAAAAGCTACAAATTTTCATGTAACAACATTTTTAAAAGTTTAAAGAGTTCCCTAAGTAACACTCATCTGTGCAAATCTGGTTCAGAAACAATTAACCACAAAGCTCACTGGAAAATAACAGCAGGCTTGTGCATATCTAAAATATTATTATTATACTCTCATTAGCACTTCTGCTTGTCACTTTTGACATTTTTACACATCCGTGTTTCATTTACAGCATATTAAATTGCTTCATGTCTCTTTTTTCCCTTCCACACATTAAATTCATTTCATATAATCATATATTAAGCCTATAGCCTATGCTTTAATATTAAATACTGAAGTTTAAGCAACACACTCACCGAACACTTGTAGTGAAGTTTCTCCTGTAAGTTGGTCTCCAGCACCAGTTACTACAGTTAGTCTGTATATTCCAGAATCATCCAGTCTCAGGTTCCAAAGCTCCAGAGCGAGAGTGTTTATGTCAAAACTGACTCTGTCTCTGTATGCTGAGACTATTACAGTTGAATCAGACTGTGCTGTCAATATAAGAGTTGATCCAAAATGCCACTGAACTGCATCAATTGATGTGGAGGGTGGGGTTGATCCAACCACTGAACTGCATCAATTGATGTGGAGGGTGGGTTATCAGGAGCGAACACCACACTTCCTCCTACTGCTCCATTAGCCGGACCAGAAAACTGCAGGTCTTCCCCTAAATACTGGCCTATGGCAAAGAAAGAAAGAAAGAAAGAAAGAGTTAACTAATTGTTCTAGACGGCATACTTTTTATCTGCTACAACTACTGTAGTTGAATAATTAGTTGGAGTCACAACAACAAAAACAATGATTAATTGCAAAGGCGGACATACATTTTTCTGCAATTAACTTACATCATTCAAATAGGCCCAACTAAGTTATTATACACAGAAATTCATCATACGTTTTTGAATTACAAAAAAAGCCTCACCAAAAAACGATAACATCCACAGCGTACAGTACAAACTATCAGAAACCATCATGATCGAGCTCTCAGCTGTCAGGAGCTGCTGCTTAAATCATCTGAACTATTTACATCAGTTTTCAGTCAATGATAAACGGCAGTTCTAGACAGCAGAGCTCACTGCGCCACCTAGCGCTGGATATTAACACGAGTCTTACCTTTGATCATTCAGTAAAGTTGCCAACATATTCAAGTTTTCAGTCACGTGACTGGCCATTCAGTAACATATTCAAGTTTTCAGTCACGTGACTGGCTCGAAGACCTGGAGGGCAAAACATC